TTCTACCAACCCATTCCAGCCCAATGGCCTGGCCTCAGGTAAGTCCAGAGCTACCTTCCACCTTTCCAGAGAGCACGGAGTCCCCTAACCCTGTGGTTCTTGCTACCCAAGGAATAGTCAGTCGCCCACACACCCCAGTCTGTCCACTAGCTCAGGCTAGACCCATCTGCAGGTCCAAGCCACCTAATGATCTGAAAATAGAAACATCCTTGATAACACACAGAATTTCCCAGAAAACTCACGCAGGTCGTCATGGTGGTACCACCCACCCCACCCCACCCCCAGCCCGATAGTTCTAATACTGACTAAGAAAAAGATCACAAGTTCAAGGACAGGCTGGGGTGCACGGTAAGGTCCAGGCCACCCTGGTCTACATTGTGAGACCCTGTCTCAAAAAAGAAATAAAAGAAGGAGAAGAGGGGGGAAGAGGAAGAAAGGCACGCCTTTTCCCCAGTCAGTTCCCATTGGCTGACCATGTCATGATGCTCGTTTGCAGCCCCTGCCCTGCTCCCTGGGGAATCCACCCTGTCTCCCATCAGTGCCCCTAGAGCCACAGTGAAATCAGAGATCCTTGTCCCGTGTCCTGAGCAAGGCCTTGCGGTGCCTTCCCACCCACCCTCCACAGCCTCTACAGCGTCCCTCAGACTCCTCTGATCCCCTTAGCTTGATGGAGTCTTGGGGCCAGGAAGGTAGGAAACCACCTAGGGAAAGCTGAGTCACATATATATTGGGTGCCACATCCGTTAGCTGTCACAGTGACCCCGTGAGGTGGGTACCACGCCAACTTCAGGGAATGAAAGAATAGAGCTGAACTACTGAATCACTTTGTGTATTCATCCAAGGTCCTTCACTGTGGGAAAAGTGACCCCATTTCCCATAGAAAGGGCTTAGGGGTGAAAGCAGTTACTGTCATCTCACCTGCCTGAAGGCCCCCTGAGTGTCCCATCTCACCCTACAGGTCCTGGCTTCGGGATGAGCGGTGTCGGGCCTGGCCTCCTTCAGCCAGTGCCACCCACCGGGGCGTTCGCCAGCCCCTTTCCTGCCCCGATGTTCCCCACACAGGCTGCGCTGACTGAGCAGCAGAACGGTAAGAGGCCCACGTGTGAAGCCCCTCTTCCCTGTGGTTCCCAGCATGCGTCAGGGCAGCACAGCCCCTGAGTATGTGTGTGGTCTGTCCAGGACTCCAGGCACTCAGGACCCCACAGATGCTCTTGCTGTAAATGGTGTGTCATTTCCACAGAACCCCTGCACACTTGGTGTGCACACTATAGTCCCAGCTTCCCGAGAGGCTAAGACAAGTTCAAGGCCTGACTGGACACTTAGACTCCATCTCAAGAACTGAAGAGGGCAGGGGTGTAGCTCACTGGTAGAGCTCTTGCCTAGCGTGAGCGAGGAAGCTAGGCTTCATTCCCAGTACAGAAAAGAAGGGAGGAATACACGCATCTCTCCGTATATATATTCTTTTAAGAGGAAATTTTATTTTGTATTATTTTACTTTGTTTTTCCTGCGTGTCTGTGTAGTGTGTGTATGCCATGCCTGAAGAGGCCAGCAGAGGGCATCAGATCCCCTGTACTGGAACTGCGAATGGGTTCAGCCTTCACGTTCCTACTGGAATTTGAACCCTGGTCCTCTAGGAGAGTGGGCCTGTGTTCTTGTACTTTTGTTGTTTTGTTTTGGGTTTTATTTTTATTATTATTATTATTATTTTTTGGAAACAAGGTTTCTCTGTATTTCTCTGGCTGTCTTGGAACTCACTCTGTAGACCAGGCTGGCCTCCATCTCACAGAGGTCTGCCTGCTTCTGCCTCCCTGAGTGCTAGCATTAAAGGCACATGCGCCACCACTGTCCAGCGGCGTACTTTTAAAATTGAAATATGTGTGTGTGTATGTGTGTGTGTGTGTGTTTGTCTCTGTGTGAGTATGTGTGGGTATTCCCAAAGACCAGAAAAAGGTACCAGATTCCCGAGAGCTAGAGTTATAGTCTGTGAACTATCCAATGTGGGTGTTGGGAACCCAACTTGGGGCCTCTGAAAAAGCAATGTGTGCTCTTTTTTTTTTAAGATTTTTATTTATTATGTATACAATACAGTGTTCTGTCTCTGTATATGACTGCATGCCAGAAGAGGACACCAGATCTCATTATAGATGGTTGTGAGCCACCATGTGGTTGCTGGGAATTGAACTCAGGACCTCTGGAAGAGCAGTCAGCATCCTTAACCTCTGAGCCATCTCTCCAGCCTCAATGTGTGCTCTTAACTAGTGTGCACTTGCATGCACACCCGTACATGCACAAACACCCACACATGCATGCGCACACATAAATACAAATTTTTAATACTTATTTTTGGGCTTTTTTGAGACAGGATCTCTGCTCTACACAGCCCTGAGTATCCTGGAACTCACTCTGTAGACCAGGCTGCCCTTGAACTAAAAGATCGCCTGCCTCTGCTTCCTGAGTGTTGGGATTAAAGACATGAGCCACTACTACCTGGCGAAAATATTTTTAAACATATTTCTTCAGTTCATAGTTGCTTGAATCTTAGGAAGACAAACTTCTTGCGGGGCAGGTGGGGAGTCGCCTGAACTGTACACACAGAGACTCTTTCTGACCAGTAGGGGGACCAGATGAGCCACAGACCTGCCTGTGCCCCCTGATGGCTCTATACTTTTCTTCCGAGAATTCTGGAAGGGTGCCCCCTGGGTGTTCACTAGAGATGTAGCAAGTGGCTCCCCTCCAGGAAGGTGACAGACACACTCAGCCAAATTATTATCCTTGCCTCCCAGGCTCTTCCTTTGGCGACTTGGGAACCTCCAAACTGGGGCAGAGGCCTCTGAACCAGGCGACTGGGATCTCTACCAATCCTTTCATGGTGAGCACCACACTGCAGCATAGGAGACACGGCTCAGCAGAAGGCTCTAACGTGGGGCATAGCTAAGATAACATCCATGAAGCATGTGTGTTCGCCCTTGCACTCACAGAGGCCAGAGGAGGGCTTGAGGGGTCCTTCTCCATCGCCCACCATCTCCTTCTCACTGGACCCGGACAGGCCAATCGGTGGCCAGCAAGCCTCCTGTCTCCATCCGCATAGCACTGAGGCTGCAGGCACCAGCTTTCTTCTTGGGTGCTGGAAACTCCTGCTCAGGCCGCCATGCTTGTGCAGCAAACGCTTTTCCCCCCAGACCCAACCCCCCCCCCCTCCTCCCCCGTTTGAGACCGAGTCACACTTTGTAGCTCAGGCAAGCCTAGAACTCATGATCCTCCTGCCTCCGCCTTCTGAGTGCTGGGTTTTCAGGTGTATATCACCACACCCAGCTCTCGGGTCCCCTCTGTGCCCCCTCCCTTCTCATCCCCTCCATCCCCCTTGCGCTGTGAGCCGCAAGCACAGTGATGTTCTGGGGGCTCCAACAAACGCCCCCCCCCCCAACCTATTAACCTTCTGCTTTCTTTCCAGACTGGATCCTCAGCATTTGCCTCCAAACCTCCAACCACAAACCCATTCTTGTAGCACTGTGTCCTTGGGGGAAGAAGGGGCTCTCCCCTCCTTTGTGGAAGAGGCTCTGACATCCCCTGAGAGCTCTGGTGACCGTCTGCCTGTGGGGCATCTCTGTGGGTCTGAGGCTGGGGTTGGGCCTGCTTTGCAGGGTTAGGGATCTGGGAACTGGGAACGGGAGGTGCTGACACAGGGTTTGTGGATGAATCAGACTGCGGCCTCCTGGCCTGCTGCCCAGAGGCTTCCTCCCTGCTTGCTGTCACCTACCCAGGAAGGAGCCCAGAAGGAGGGAAGACACCCTTGCCAGGAGGTCCCACAGTGGGTATTTCTGTCAAATTATTGAGTATGAAGACGGGCCTCTATTTTGTCCCTCCTGGGCTGGAGTGAGCAAAGTCAGGCACAGCCCCCACGGCAGCCTTCCCCCAGGGAGCAGTGCTCCAGGCCCAGCCTTCCAAAGCTGCCTCACTTCTCCCAGATAGAAGCAGCGCCGGGGAATGTAGGGTAAAGATGAGGCTTGGTGTTGACAGCCTCCAGACAGTCCTGGGACTAGGAAGCTTCTGGTGTCCAGTTCTTTTGTTTTCCTGGCTCAGCCACACCCTCTTTTTCCACCCTCATCCTCACTCCCAGGCTGCCCCTATGCTGGCACTCAGGACGAGGAGCTTTACCCACAGAGCACGCGTGCCCAGCTCCTGTCAAGCACTTTAGTTAGCCCTGTCGTATTTGGATACCAGTGTTTTATATTTATAAATAGAGAATTTTCTAATATAGCCTATTATATACATACATACATATATATATATATATATGCACACACATATATAAACAGATAGACACCCAGCCATTCTTCCTCTCCCAGACAACCCTTTAACTCGGGTATGGAGCTGGCTTGCCACAGGCCTGTAATCCTAGAACTTGAGGGACTGAGATAGGAGGATCATGAGTTCAAAGCTAGCCTGGGCTAGAGAGTGAGTTGAAGGCTGGTCTGGGCAACTCAGCAAGACACTGTCTCAAAATAAAAAGTAAAAATGAGGGCTCAGGATATTGTTGGGTGGTAGAGTCAAGCCTAGAATCCCCCAGTGAGGGGCTGGGGTATGCTCAGTGGGAGAGTGTAGTGGGATTCTCCTGTAAACTTGAGGAATAGGGTAACCCCTGTCTGTGCCTGGATAATAAAACCTGGAGTCCAAGGGGTAGAGGAAGAACAACCAAGTGTCCTCATTCTCCACAACACACACAAACACACATGAGTATCCAGGACCTAGGCTTTTTCAGTGGAAGGTCTGTGATTGGCTGGGGCGTTTGTACTTTTCTTCCTCCACATTCCTCCCGCTGCTCCCAAAGATCTGCACCAAAGCTTGTTTGGAGGCAATGTTGGAAAAGACTACATTTGAAAGAAAAAAAAAAAGTGGCTCTCGGTGTCTTGCTTTGTGCCAGCTGGAGCGGACACAGGTCAGTCAACACGACTGATCCTTGACTTGGCTCTTCCGATCTGCAGCGCCTGGGCCGATAAACATGTGACCTCAACCAGAGGCTGAGCTGTGTACCCTCTGTTAGCGAGAGGCAGGGATGAGTGAGGGTCCCCATCTGGGGTTGAAGTCCAGTGACCACGGGGCAGGCAGGGAGGTGGATTTGTAAGTAAACAGGACCCCACCCCCACCCCAGAGTGTCCTCGGCACCTCCAGCAGTTCCTTACCTGGGGCTGTGGTGTCGGTAGCCAGGTGTTGGGGCGGGGAGGAGATAGTGCCTCCAGCTGAGAAGAGAACTAGGCCTTAGCCTTGCTGTTTATCCCGGGAGGCCTGCACCGGCCCCTCCCTGCAGGCCTCAGCCAAGAGTTCCTGGCCCTTTAAACTGTTCATTCTTAGGATTTCTCTGGGCCTTCGGCAGGGACTGGCAAAGGGATGTGGAATTAGGTTATCAGTTTCTTTGCTTTATAGATTTTTTGGAAAGATTTCTAGCTCCTGCTATTTGCAAAACCAGACTTGGCTTTCCCTCTCTGCAACAAGATTCAGTCCCTCGCTGTTTCTTACTAGCCTAGCCTCTTCACCCAGCTGGCCCCTAGCCTTTGTACCAGATTTTTCCATATTTTGTTTCCCTTCTGATTTTTTTGGGAGGGTCATCTTTAGTATCACCCTACCCTGCCAGCACCAAGCCTGTGTAGCTTAGGCTATCCTTAGTGTTTGGGAGCTGAAGTTCCTGGTGTGTACACACACACACACACACACACCCAATGCCAGGCTGTCCCTCCTGCTGCTTTCTGCTGCTGCTGCTGTTGGTTTTGAGCCAGGATCTCGCTGTGTAGCCCTGGCTTGCCTGAAACTCGCTACATAGCCTGGGCTGGCTTCAAACTCACTGGGTAACCAAGTACGACTGGATTTCTGATGCACTTACCACACAGGTTTATGAAGTGTCAGGGATCCAGCCCAGGCTTCTTGCTTGCAGGGCAAGCACACTCCCAAAAGAGCCACGTCTCTGGGTGCTTCCCTTTCCCCTCATTCTGCCTTAAGCCAGGAGTCCCAAGCTTATTTTAACCCGGCTTCCCTGGCTCTGGCTCCATATCACTTGAGTTTTTAAAGGCCCTAAAGCGAGTCCCCGTTTGCCCTCTGTGTAAAGTCACACTGTGCCTTATCCCAGGACCTCCTAGCCACCATCCCTCTATCCTGTCTTGTCTCAAAATGGACCCTGGCCAGCGTTCTGGGCAGGGCTGAATGACTGGGCTGAGAATCTGCCTGGGGTTAGCCTCAAGCATTCCCTGGGCACGAGCTAGGGCTGAACCATTGTCCTTGGCAAGGAAGGGCCCAGCACCCTAGTCCATCTAACCTCTCCAGACCAATGGCAAAAACAACGGAGGCACCCTGGTAGGGTATGTTGCCTTCTTTGTACACTCACCTGACTGCTGTGAATCCAGACATGTGTGCGTGCGCACGTGCACACACACATCACACACACAAAGAGACTGGAACAATGCATTTGGCTAATACACTCTGGCCAGGTCCTTTTGTTTAGGCCCTGGCCAATGCTCTATTCATACCATGCAAGCCACAGCCCTCTAGCTCAGGTCTGTCTGTCAGCATGGGCAGCCTCTGTGGGTAACAAAGCAGAAGCTGAACCTCTGGAATTTTCTCCACGTGAGAGCTAGAAGGTAGGATGATTGAGGGAGATCACTGTATAGCTTGGTCCCATACCCCTATCCCTACCGCTCTACCCCCACCCCTCTCCACACACCCACCCAGAGAATAAGCCTTCCCAGGGACCATCCACAAGCCCTACTAAATGGATTCCTACCCCTGCTAACAAAAGTCTTCCATAGACGTCACGTGCCCCCAACCTAGCAAAGGCCTAAATATGCCACTTCCTGGGTTGCTGAGGTTTCAGACTATAAAATATTGTGTTTAAGTAGTACCAAGCGCGGAGCTGTTGCTATGGCAGCTGAGATAAGCCAGGCTTTCCCTGGTACCCAACAGACCAAGTCACCTGGCACTGCTTCCGTCCCCTTATTCTTGCTGGTCTACACCCCAGGTGCTTGGATGGCTGCTGTTTCCGGCTTTATCTTTTACCCAGCACTCCAGGGCTGAGTGACACAGAGCGTTTAGAGCCGCCTGTGAGCGCAGCTGTGATTTCACAAGGACAGATGTTTGCGAGATGACCAGGCTCAGGGATCAGGAAGGAGATAGGGAGAGACCCTTCCTGGATAGCTTCAGTCCTGAGGGAGTGACACTCTTTCCTTTGCCATGGAGTCCTGCTCACTAACTGCCTAGAGAGCTGCGGTCCCCACTGCGCGTCCCACTCGCAGGCTCCAGGGTTACATTGTGTGTGACCACGTCCAGCTTTCGGGGCATCCTGAGGACCCAGCTCAAATCTCAAACTTGCACAAATGCTTTACCCACACACAGGGTCATCTTCCAGGGCCCACCAACAAAACTTTGGGTGTTTCTTTCAGCCCTGCCTGGGTGGGGCTGTGACAGGCTGGGAAGCCCCTGGGGCAGGCCTCAGGTACTAGATGTCCGTACATATGATGAGGGTTGGTATTGGGTATCTGCTGTCAGTGAGGCATTTTGAAAGGTGCCTAATGAGGCCCAGCTTCATGATCAGGGAGAGTGAGCTCCCTGCTATCCCAGGTTACAAATGGGCATGGACCTCTGTTTGGGCCACCCTTGGACTGGCCTGAGAAAAAGGCCCACGTTCCCCTGCTTCTGTTTAATTGTTATATGGGTGCCTTACCCGAGGGAGCCCCTCACCCAAGTGCCCTAACAGGGTCCCACGGCTTAGCCATTTCTCTAGACCTTCATCTTCCCTCACAGAGATTTTGATTGCCATAGCATTAGAGAGTCGCCATGTCTGCTTAGGCACCACTGCTTGTCAACTAAGCTTTGACAAAATGCACCATGTCGCTCCCAACCCCAGTGATCCTAATACAGAAAAACAAAATAGCCAAGGGGCTGGGGACATAGCTCAGATGGTAAATGCTTGCCGTGCAAACCTGATGGCCTGCTTGATCCTCAGAGTCCACATAAAGAGTGGGGATCACGGCATGCCTTGTAATCCCAGTACTCCTTTAGCAAGATAGAAGAGGACCACTAGCCAGCCAGTGGTGGTCCACACCTTTAATCCCAGCACTCAGGAGGCAAAGGCAGGTGCATCTCTGAGTACGAGACTAGCCTAGTCTACAAAGCTCCAGGCCAGCCAGGGCTACCACTAACCAGCCTTGAAGCTCCCAGGCCAGCATGCCTGGAGTACACAGCAGCACAGGAGCACAATGGGACCCTGCGTCAAAGGGATGGAAGACAAGAACCAACTTCCAAAAGTCAGACAACCTGCATAACACACATAACAAATATTTTAAAAGCTGGGTGTAGTAGTATGCCCTTGTAATCCCAGTGCAGGGTAAGTGGAGTCTGACAGATCCCTGGGGCCTCCTGGCCGGCTAGCCTAATGTTCTAGTCGAGGTCCAAGCCAGTGAGCCTGTCTCAGAAACAAAGGGATGGCTCTTGAGGTCGTCCTTTGGCCTCCACAAGCATGTGCACTCAGTCTGATCTCTGACCCCTCCCAAACCTCTCAGGATGCAAAGGGCCATGAGGCATCTACCACAGAATCCCGGCTTCTGTGAACATAGCCACCATCAGGTTCAGGTCAGCTGTTTGACTCCAGGGCGGTGAGGGGCACTTTGAAGGTATCCCTGAGAAACGACCTCTTCTTTCGCGTGTCTCTCAGTGACTACCTGGATGCATGGAAATCTGGAGGGTACAGCTCGTGACTGTGGACCAGTCTACTAGTTTCCCTATCCCGGGACATTGGTCGCCCCAAACTCATTGAAGAACCGCCGTTAGAACTTCTGCACAGTGTTCAGCAGCCAAATTCCCTGAATAACTCGGGAGCAAAGGCACAAAAATCATCTCTGGGTGGGAAGGAGAGGGACACTGAGGACCTAAGGATAGAGGCTGAGCGGGGTGGCTGCTGTCAGGATGGCCGGCGAAGCCGTTCTTCTAATTACCAGTCTCACCACTGCTAACCACAGCTGCTTCAGCACCCTGGCTTTCTGGCTTTCGGGATTGCCCCAGGCTGCCCCTGGCGGCACTCCTCCACCCCCATATCCAGTCAGCTGATTGGTGGAGACGCCCCCCCACTCCCCGCCCCTGTGAAAGTTTGGTCCCAGCGGTGCAGGACTCCTACTCTAGCCTATGAGTCCCTAACTCAAGTTCCTGCACTCGGGCGTGGGAGGGTTAACTTGAAGGGGTGGAGATTCTAACAGGGAGGCTGACCCAACTGAGGTTGACCCAGCTGGGTCAGCCTTCCTTAGATATAGAAGTCCTGGTGTCACTGGCCACTGGAACGCTTGAGTATAGGCTCCTTGCTCACTTCAAGTCGGGAGAGGGCGTGGGGAGATGCAGGGTAGCTAGAACGGTTGCCATCTCCCAGGTCTCTGCTACTCGTCCCCAAGCTGGTGGTGGCTCAGGGGACCAGACCTATCCAAATCAGTCCTTCCGAGGGCACTTGATTGCCTTTGGTTGGAGATGAATCCGGCAGGTACGGGTCTTACAGTCTCCCCCGGGGCCGAGTCCACCGACGTGTCCCTTGGCCCACCATTTCCCTGGCCCTGCCCACCCGACGTGCGGCTCTGTGGCCACCTGCGGAAGCAAAAGTCCCAGCGCCGCCGCTTTTTCGTTCTGCGCGCCGACCCTCCGCGCCTGGAGTGCTACGAGAGCGAGAAGAAGTTCCTCGCCAGCGGCTGCCGCCCACCTCGACCCCGGCGCAGCGTGAGCCTGGAAGGCGCCTGCACTATCAGCAAGCGTGCGGATGCCCGCCAGCGCCACCTGATCGTCGTCTATACCAGCGACAGCAGCCTGGGCGTAGCGGCGGCCAGCGAAGCAGAGCAGCAAGCATGGTACAGCGCCCTGCTGGAGGTGCGCGCCTCTGCCGCTGCAGCTGCTGCCACTGCTATGGGTGAGCCCTGGGACACAGGGAGGGCAGGGGGTTGCCGACTTAGCTTATCCAAAACTCGTCTCCTCCAGATCACCAAAGGTTCAAATCTTGAGCTTTCTTTCACACTTCTTGGTTTCTTGGGACACGGTGACCCCAACCCCTGCCTCTCAGTGACTTGCCTATCTGTTCTCTCCAGGTCTCAGTCCCCAAGAGGCCCCTGAGTCTTGGGTCTTTGCCCCATTCCAGGATGTCTGGCCTGTGACACTGCGGTCCAAGGGACTGGGGCGAACACGAGGCCTGAGTAGCGGCACCTACCGCCTGTGCCTGGGTTCTGGGGCTCTAAGCCTCCTGCGGAAGCCAGGAAGCAAAGGCTCCCGAGACAGCCGGGCATCACCACCACCAGCCCTGCGCCTATCCTTGCTCAGTGTGCGCCGCTGCGGCCATGCAGACTCGTTCTTCTTCCTGGAACTCGGGCGCTCAGCGCCCACAGGTCCCGGGGAGCTGTGGATGCAGGCGCCTGATGCAGTGGTAGCCCAAAACATCCATGAGACCGTCCTGGCTGCCATGAAGAGGCTGGGGAGCAGTACAGCCAGTGGCAAGGATGAGCCACCGTCCGGAGATCTTCCAAAGAGTGCTTCTGCAGCCCCTACCCTGGTACCATATGAAACCCCTGCTTCTGCAGGGCAACCAAGAAGCCCGGGTGAGAGAGCAAAGCAGGACTACCTCAAAACCTTGGAAAGGATGGGGCCCACACCCGCCTGCAAGGGGCTAGATCTGGGCGGGGACTACATCACCATGGGAGTTGGGGATGACTACGTGCACATGGCAGGAGGAGAGGTTGGTGACTACATGTTGATGGCACCCCCAGGCCTTCCTCCCACCCCAGCCAGGGTAGCTCCTGGCAAGTCGCTCCAGGATTGTGAGAGCACAGAGTACATGCCCATGAATAGATTCTCACCAGGGCCTTTTTACTACGAGCTCAAGGCCAAGGAGCCTGAACTGGGCCATCAAGGTGCCCCCTGCAGCGTTAGGGACAGATGGAGACCCACAGAAGCTCAGACCTGCTCTTCCCAGCTTTCAGAGTTACCTGGGGACTACATGTACATACCAGACTGCGTAGGCATGAGCGGTGCTAAGCCCAGGGCCCTGGACAACTGCCTCAACTACGTGGACCTGGACCTAGTCCCTCCCCTGGAAGTGTCTGGAGCAGCCCCTGGGGAGAGTCCACATAGTTATGCCAGCATCAAGTTCTAGAACCTTCTGGGAGATGGTCAGGGAAGAGACAAAAAGAAGAGAAAAAGTTACTAGTGTATAGCTCGACTCTTGCAAGGGGCCAAGGCCACCATGTTCCCTGTCAGGTGCTATGCTGCCCCCTTGCCTGCTGTCACTTCCACCTACAAACTCTCAGAAATTAGACTTTTTTTTTTTTTTTTGAGACAGGGTTTCTCTGTAGCTTTGGAGCCTGTCCTGAAACTTGTTCTGTTGACTAAGCTGGCACAAACTCACAGAGATCTGCCCGTCTCTGCCTCCCAAGTACTGGGATCAAAGGCATGTGTCACTTCTGCCTGGCGAATTTAGACTCTTTTAAGAGAGAAAGTTCTAGAACCTCTCTTGTCCCAACCCAAAAAAACCAACCAAACAAACAACCCTAAAGCCTTAAGAAGTTTTGGGCCTTCCCAGATGAAACCCGGATCTTATCTGAGGAATTCCTACAGAATCAGTCTCAGGCTAGCTGTGGCCAAACCAGAGATGAAGATCCCCACCCCAATTTGGACAGCTCTGTCCCTCGCATGTTGTCAGCTAGATGTCACTGTGTCCCCCGAGCCCAAAGTTATCCTCACCCAACTTTTCCAAGTCAGAGAGCTCAAAAGTGATCATGTTCGTGCTCCCCAGCAACCTGGCCTCCTGAGCCATCCTCCTGTGGTGCCAGTCAAGCTCCCCTGACCCTTCCCTGGGCCTGACCAAGCCAACCGAATCCTTGCTTCCTACAGCACAGCCCGTCACATCCTGTGGACCCAACCACCCATTAAAGATGCTCTGCACCCTGACTGTCTTGGCTCGATGGATTTCCCTGCCCCAGGTAGTGGGTGATGTGAAGGACGGGCAAGTAAGTGTGGCGGCATGGAGGAGCCCAGCCTGCCTCCACACCCCACTGCGGCACCTGCTGCACAGAGCCTGGTTCACAAACTAACTCTGGTTTATTATCAAAACAGCCTGGGGGAGAAGCCAGCACTCATGGAGGGAGGGCACTTTGATGGGGGATATCTGGGGTCTGTGTGGGACATGGGTCAGTGCTTCCAGAACAGCTCTGGCCACCGTTGGGGCCTGGGTCTTCAGAGGCAGAGACAGGGTCTGGGCAGCTGGTAGAGGTCAGAGAGCTTGCCAAGGAGTTAGAGCTCAGCTCGCCCTGGCTCATCTGCAGCAGGCCAGCGAGGGCAATCATCTCTGCCTCGCTCAGCCAGGTGGAAGAGCAGGCCTGGGATGAGGAGGGGTGCACAGAGGGGGACATGATGGCAGGTGGGAGCAGCAGCTTCCGAGAGCCCATTGCCTGAGAAAACAGGAAGGGAAGTTTGTCTTCCCACTCCTTGCATGGAGAGAAAAGGGAAGCCTGGAGGGAGGCTCTCTCTTACCTGCTGAGGGGGCTTGGACAGGTACAGGGGAATACGCTGCCCACAGGCGAGCAGAGGGTCCAAGAGAAAGACATCTTCATAGTTTGTCACCGGGAGCCCTGAGGAGGAGAGCCTGCTAACTTGGTGGCCTCGACCTCCCATCCTAGCCCTCACTGTTGCTGCTGCCCCAGAAACATCCCAGCTGAGCTGAGGAGCCAAGGAAAGTACCTGTATCCTTGGACACTTGCTCTTCTTCTGGATGCCCTGAGGTAGGGATCCTGCCCCAGACATCATACATAGGCCAGGAAGGATGACACAGTGTCCTACCAGACAAGGATACGCCTGACCCACAGCTGGCCCCCTGCGGAGAACAGGAAGTGACTGAGCTCATCTCTTAAGGCATCTCTGCTACCTGGAAACAGAGCCACAGATCCCCAAACTCACCACCTGCTGAGGTCTCGCGTTAGCCTCGTGGCCGGGATCCCAAAGTGGCAGTGGGGTCATCCTTGAGGGGGTGACCTGGGAGGTCACCTGGGAAGAAAGAGGTACTACGAAGGATAGAGACAAGATTAGAACAGGTTCTGAATCTCTGGGGCCTTGCGGGTAAAACCAGCAAGGCCTGGTCCCTACCTGGGGCTTCCGTGGTCGTGGTAGGCTCAGTAACCCGATGATTGGAGGCCAGCGGCAGCTTTCTTCCGGTCTCAGATGGGCTGAGGGCCTGGGGCTGTGGGCTGTGTGAAGGGAAGGACATGCTCTTCCACTTCCCAGTGCTGACCTGAGTCAGTCACAGAGCCACAACCCAATTCCAGCACCGACCTCGGTGGTGGTGGTGGGGGGGTTTCTCAGTTTTGAAAAGCGCCTGTGCCGCCTCCTAGTGGCCCGCACCAGGCCCTCACCTGTCCTGCACGGGCGCTCCTGGCTCTTCCATGGTTTCCTCTCCAGAGCTCCATTCCCCGCCGTGGTCACTGCCCGTGGAGAGGCCTGACTCCTCTGTGGCCTCCTCCTGGCCTGAGCCCCATGGCCTAAGCCAGGGCAACATTCTGTGCCTGGTGGAGCTCCGGGCAATACCCACCACTGTGCCCGCGTGTGGTCCTGATTACATAGGCGCCCAAGTCTTAGCTACCTCAGAGGTGTCGCCACGACGCCTGCGCGCCGCCAGTTTCTACAGCCACGTGGTGCACTCCCGCCAGCTTCTCAAGGGCTCCCCCTGGCGGCAGAGCCACGGGGCACTTGCGCCCTTACAGCCCCTCTACCCAGGTCGGAAACATCACCAACATCACCGTCTACCCTGGGACCCACTGAGAGGACCCAGATCCCCAAGAAGCTCGCACACTCACAGACAGGCACACACCTGAGGGCCAGCCTACAGGTCTTTGGGCATTTCTTTATTGTGTTTGACACAACACTCTTCACCCAGACCAGGGGCTGCACTCGAAGCAGTCCAAGGGCAGGGGGATACACAAGCCCAGTGCTACACACAGGGCCATGTCACCAAGTCCTTGTTAATTGGCAGGACCCAGGTGTCATCTGTTCCCAGGTCAGGTCCAGTGGGAGCTGGGGCCAAAAGCCCCAACCTCTACCCCTACGACTGCTCCAGAAGGGCGTGAAGGACAGCAGCGATCTGAGGGAGGCCCCTTCCAGGGGCTCCCTCCTCTTCCAGGATGTGATGGGGCTGGCACAGGGACTCCTGGGGGGAGGGGCCCAGGTTAAGTTTTCCTCTGGCATTCCCCAAGCAAGGTTGGCGGGGTGGGGTGGGGGTGGGGGCGCTCCTGGTAGACACTGCCCCATGCCTGGGAGCAAATGACACATGGAAGCAACACAGAAGGCTCAGGGGCAGGAGGGGTCTGTCATTTCCAAAGGGAAATGCTGTACAGGCAGACTGACATACATGGAGCCCAGGCAGGACAAGGCCTGGCTGCAGCAGGAGCTCACATAAGCACACACGGAAAAGACGGTCTATACAGTTTATACACAGAGCCAAGGCCCATAATGGGCCCACATCCCCTACAAATATAGAATCCTCTCTACAAAATAGAGATAATTTAGCTCCCCCATAGCAGCCAGTAGGGGGAGGAGAGAAGGGAAACAGCCAAGGGTCTGTCATCCCTCTGGGGGACAGAGGGCTAAGGGAGGACAGGAAGGCACCCTCAGCACTAGTAGAGGAGAGGGCTGCTGTGGGCATAGAGTGGGGCTTCTGAGGTCAGTGTTTGTGGGATACACTAGTGTCTTTGGTAGGGCTGAAGGCACCACCGGTGGGAACATGGTTGAACAGGACTTATAAATAGAAGGCAGGGAAGGAAGGGGCAACGTCGGTCCTAGGAGCCCAGGAGCCGAGTGTAGACGACATAAAGTAGCAGCATGGAGGCCACGTAGAAGAAGAGGAAGCCACCCAGACCAGAGGAGGGCTGGACTGGGAGAGGGGCCTTGCCCCCCACCAGGATCACAGCCTCCAGTATGGTCCGCAGTCCCTGGGTGGTGCCCCGGAGGAGATCCGAGGGCGAGCACAGGTCAGCCTGGGAAGGGAGGGCAGGGCAGATGGACAAGGACAAATCACAGATGTTAGCAGCGTCAAGCCACAGACCTTCCCACCCTTCCCTCACAAACCAGGACCACAGCCAGAGCAGTACCAACATGCAGACATGCAGGACAGGGAGGCAGGAGGAGAGCAGGGCTGGAGCTATGAGGGGTGGGCCCAGGACGCATGCTCCCTGTAGAATTAGATACCCCTGTGGGTGGAGCTCCGCCCCTCATGCATGGTATTCAGCTGAGCCCTAGACACCAACATCTCCCAGGGCAAAGAGCAGGCCCCATACCTCAGGCACACCCATTTTTCGACAGGCTTCTAAGAAACTCTCCACGTTCTTCCGAGACTTGAGGGCACTGAGCTTTGGCTGGAGATGGAGGAGGATGGAAGAGGGTTTGCACAGGCAGAGTCACACACCTGTCCCATCCCCTCTTCCTCCTCCCAGCTCCCACTGACCACAGCAGGTGAGGGGACATGAATGAACGGTACAGAGCGAGGTCGCAGCTGGTTGGCCAGCTGGCAGAGGATGACCCCATTGGCTAGAGCCTCTGCCAGGTCCTCAGGCAGGGGTTGCTGCAGCCGTGACTCAAGGACCTAGAGGCAGAGATAGGAGGAGCAGGTGGGGTCAAGCAGGGAGCTCACTTCGTCCCTTCCCCTCCTTGATGACAGTTCTAGGGCAAGAAAGAAGAGTCCTGAGGAAAAAAAGGGAAGGAGGTGCCAGGCTGGGTCAGGCCTCTGCCTATACAGATTTCACTCCGCTTACCTGGCGAAGTTGGGAAATCAGTTCCTTCTCGTCTACAATCTGAGGAAATGGTCGAGATCTCAAACTAGACTCCGGAGAGGAAGGGCCTAGGAGGAAAAGGAGGATGGGGATAGTTTTGCTTCACAGATAAACTTTGGAGCCAGCTTCCAACAGTCTTGTATCAATGCCACCTCCTGCCTGTAGATTCTCCACGAAAAGGGACAACACCCTGAGAGACACAAGTCCCAAGAGACAGGGGTCCTGAGGTTAGTGCCAGAAGGACAAAGACTCACCTGAGCCACTCTGAGAAGATGAACGGAAGAGGAAGCTGTTTGGTCTCTGAATGGAGCCCAGTGGCCTGGGTACAGGAGCTGTCACTGGGGGGGTGGGGGGGAGCCAGGGACAGGCAAGAGAGACATCCCCTCAGTGACCCACTCTTCCTTCAAGCCTCTATGTCTCAAGCACCCCCAAGCCACCATCGAGAACACTGTCCTACCTGGTCCAGATGATGAAACGGAGTCCTGGGAGATGGGGGATGATGTGGGAACTCCCTGCCCCCCTGAAACTCCCATCTGGGTAGCACTGGACTTCGGTGGGCCACTGAAGGAAAAGAAGGGGCTCAGAGAAGGCCATGAGGAAGGCGTAGGGAGATGGATCTTGGGAGGACACCTACTTGGAGGTGGCCTGCGTGGACGAGGCCGAAGCACCCGTGGCTCTGATCCCCCGCTTCAGGACACTGGAAGAAGCAGACAGGCACGAGCTCTGCAGTCAGGCCACACATTCAGAAAAACAGAGCCAGGAGAAGCATTTGCATCTGCCTGATGTGCAGCAGCCCCAGGCCCTCACCTGTCCCTCCTGGGGGATCCCCATCCCCCACTCTGTTGCTGTTGCTGCCGACGCTCCCGCTCCTGCCACAACTGCAAAGTGTCAGGACGCCGCCTCTCCTCCCCTGCAGGCTCCTCCCGCCTGGCAGAAGACAGGGCAAGAGAGACCTTTGTCAGGTGAAGGGAAGGTCCCCGGGGTTGTTGAGTATGGAGCAGACATGTGAGCTTGGGGGTTGAAATACCTGCTGCTCCACGTCCTCTCCACATCTCCTGCTACGGGGCTTAATTCAGAAGGCAGCTGCTCCTGAAGAGAGACCAGCAGAGACTGAAGAAGGCTGGTCCCCTAGTTTGCAGTGACTTCCTTATTCAGTGCCCTTCCCCTGGACAAGGAACATAACTGGGTCCTCACCTCAGCTGCACTTCGCTCTTCATCCTCCCCGGGAACATGGCTGTCGATAAAGTCAATCTGCTCCATGTCTCCATCGCCTGCAAGGCCAGGACACGTCAGTGAGCAAGCAGGAAGGGGCTTCCAGGCCCACACTCACCCCTCACCATCCTGGGAAGACTCCCTTGCCCACCAGAGCCATCTTCCCTCTGTTGTCTAGGTCCCCGGGGCTCCCGGGCCAGCTCTGAGATCCGGAATGACAGCTCTGAGAAATCATCTGTGGACTTGAAGGCAGAGAGGCAGAGGTGGAACATGGGCTCTACTGCAGGGCTGAGGACCATATGGGTTCAGGCCTGCAGAGTCTCAGACTGGGGTCAGGTAGAGAACCAGCCTTTTGGGGATAGTAGGGAGGAGGAGTCCCAGCCATGACCTCTTACTGGGAGGTATCTCTTAAAAGGTATTAGGTACTGGATCCCCAGTACCAAGACCCTCCCAGTGATGACATTCCCAAATGTCCTTACAAAGGAGGTCCTTACCTCATTTCCTGACCACCTCTTGCTGCCGCTGTCAACGCTATGGAAGCCTGAGTCCAGGCCACCATCATATCGACGCCCTGGAAATAAGTCTTCTGCAGGGCTAGAGCAGCAGGGAGAACTCATCAGCCCCAGGCTGGCAGCACCCCTATCCTCCCACTAGAATCCAGAGTGGTCTCTGGTCCCAAGAAGAGGATTCCTTCCCCTTACCAAGGGCCTTACCAAGGACTAAAACTTGGGGGACGGGAAGGGACCAGGTCCCCGAGGGCAGCTCCTCGCCGGCCAGCCTCCATTGTTAAGTACTTGAAGATGTGAAGCTTCCCCTTCAGACAGATCTGTGTGAGGGGCACCTGCATAAGAATGAGGTGGCTCCCCAGGCCTTACTGGACCCTCCTATGCTAACAACACCGCTGTCCTCAAGTTCACCCAGGCTGCACTTTACCTGAGCAGGTGGACTCTGTAGGGGGTTGCTATCCAGCAGAATGACCTGCAGGTGCCTGAGGCGGCAGAAGGAGACTGGGATGCGGGAGACACGGTTACAGGAGAAATCCAGGCGGACCAGAGGAAGGTCCCCCAGCTCTAGGGTTGGGTAAGGGGAGAGTTAGAAGAAGCCCAGGCCAAAGTCTTGAGTTTTCTCCCTTGCCCTTGACTATGACCAGCCAGTCACTCCATCACAGCCCCCACCCTGGCTGGCTCAGCTCATTTCCCAGAAATGACCTGCTCCTCTCCACACTCTGATCTGAGCAGAGCCCTGGCTACTTCAGCTGCTGCTCAGCCCTATGCATCCTCCTCCCCTGTCTGCCCCCACTGAAATCCACTGTGCATTCTTCGCTAAGCAACACAAGACACAAACCAATTGGTGATTACTGTACAAAAGCCTCCCATACCACATAGCCTGCAGACATTGGGTGGATACAATGTGCAGAAGGGCACAGTTCAAAGCCAGCCTCAGCTATATAACAGTTAAGGCCATCCTAGGCTACATGAGAGCCTGTCCCAAAAACCCACAATCAATCAATCAATCAATCAATCAGGAAGCTGCTTTCCAATCCCATGTCTTCTATGAATCTTCCACACATCTCAGGGTCTTGGGATTCACTGTTCTTTGGTACACAAGAAGCAATGTGCCTGGATCTTTTAGGCTCCAGGAAGAACTCCCTGTTCTTATTTATGTATTTATGCCCCTATTACTATGACTAAATTTCAGGTGTTAGATAATCACCAAATCCCTGAAAATGGTGTCAGTCATGGGTCTGTCTCTATGAATGGAACAGGCTAGTCCAAGGATGGATTCCTGGATTAATGGACCATCAGGAAGCAGCCTTCTCTCTGGCACTTTTGAACCGTGCTGCCCTGTGATGCCCTTGACACCCACAGACATGTGCTACCTGCACAGAGGTCTACCTGCATAGAGAGGTGTGTAGGTGTTTAAACAAATCCTGTGACTTGGTCCTCAAGCCCCAGTGCTGGCTCACACTTACAGCACCAGCATTCGGGGCTGAAACACAAGGAGCACACAAGTCAAAGGCCAGCCAGGGCTTCGGGGAGACCCTGTCTCAAAAGATAGACAAAGAGGAGTGCTGGTAAACAGCTCAGCTGGCAGAATGCTGACCTGCAATGCATAACGTTCTATCGGTCTGGTCCTCAGTACTGCAGAGACTAGGCATGGTGGTGCATGCCTGGAATCCCACCACTCAGGAGGTAAAGGCAGGAGAAGCAGGGTTCAAGGCCATTCTTGGCTACATACTGAGCTGGAGGCCAGCCTAAACTACAAGAGACCATCTCTCAAAGAACAAAATAAATACAAAATTCCTGCTGGGTGGAGTGGTGCACGGCTTTAATCCCAGCACTTGGGAGGCAGAGGCAGGCAGATCTCTGTGAACTCCAGGCCAACCTGGTTTACAGAGTGAATTTCAAGGCAGCCAAGGCTAGATAGTAAAATCCAGTCTCAACAAAACAAAATTCCTTAATTTCAGTTATTTTCTTCCAGTAACAGAAAATTAATGAAGACACTTAATGGACTTGGAAAGCAGAGGGCAGAGGCAGAAAGGGGGAGAAGGAGGCAGGGAAAATGGGTGACCATTACGCTTGTTCTTCACAACCAAATATGCACCCTTCCTGTTTGTCCTTCTAACTGCCTCCACGCTTTGACTCTGGTGTTCCTCTGCAGGGACCACCTTCTAAGGTCAGCTATGCCTGACCTTCTGGGGAATGTCAGTCACTTTCCAGGCTCCACCCTGCTGCCTCCTCTCACTCTCTGGGCTCCCAAGCCTCCTGCTTTAGCAGGTCCCTATGAATGTCTGTCTATGAAGCCACTAAACCTTTGAGGGCTGGTCTCAGATCTCAGTCACATCTATGCGGGGGGCCTCACCTGAAACGCAGGAAGCACACACCCCAGAATAATGCTGGCTAAGCACAAGAAGACATACCTGCTTCCCAACAGAGACTATCAAGTGTCAGTACATCATAATTACCCCCATTGAACAGGGCTGCTTAGACTCTCATGTCAGGACCCCCTCCCCAATCCAGAGTCCTTGTGAGGAGTTTCAAGAGCATCACCTGATTAGTGTTTTGAGAGTTCTTACTGGGATGAGGTGGGTGTTGGGTGGGCCTTAAGGTCCATTCCAACGTTAGGATTCTACAGCTGACTGACTTCCCTCCTACCCTTCTTTCCTAGCCTGCTCCCACGTAAAAACAGAACTAGGAATCCACGCCTTCCCAGCCTCAGAAGGTTGCCATGGTCAAGAGCAAATATCACTGTTTACTGTTTGCTTTAGATACTGAAAATTACTGAGCAACAAAGCAAGGTCATTTTTAAAAGATTTCTTCTTGCCTGTGACTTCTCCAAGGTAGCAGCATTATTTCAAACTCAGTGTTTGTGCCCCTCCATTTCATATGTTGAAAACATAACCTTCAAAGTGATTGATACTAGAAAGTGGGGCCTCTGGGTGGCAATTCAGGTCGAGAGGGCAGAGTCCAGAGAGGATTAGTGTCCTTGTAAAATAGAGCCCAGAGACCCCAGGAGCTCTCTCCACTCTCTGTGAGATGAGGAGACGGTTTGTATCCACAGAGGGCCCTAATACACCACTTGACCACATGGCAACCTGATCTAAATGTGGGAATGTTAGTGGACATCTGGTCAGAAGCCCCCATCTATGGATCTCTGGTACAGCAGCCTCGCTGATGAAGGCACACACAAGCTCATCCATCCTCCGGGTTTCATCTTCCTTACCATCGGGCAGGGTACTGAGCTGGTTCCTCCGAACATTGAGATCCCGCAGGGAACGGAGGCTGCACAGCTCCACAGGAAGGGACTGCAGCTCATTGCTGCTCACGTCCTAGGTCAGAGAAGGCACTATAAGCCCAGAATCAGCAGAAATTGCTCTGCTATTTCTCTCTGGCTACTTGCCTTTAGTCCAAGCCTTTTTTCCCAAGGGTGCTTCCTACCTTTCTCTAGCTCCCCCCCCCAGAAGTTCCCAGAGCCTGGCACAACAGTCCCTCTTCTGGCCCATGCCCTTTATTCTCACAAGCTGCCGCAGGCTTCCTAAGGTGCTGATGTCTGGAGGCAGGGCTCCTAGCTTGTTGTTGCTGACAATAAGTACTCGAAGGGGCAGCTGGCAGATGTAGGGTGGTAAAGATGACAGCTGGTTCCGGCTGTGAAAGGAGAAAGGCAGCAGCCTCACACCTCAGGCAGGGCACCCCAGCATTGGGCCTGCTCTGGGGAACCAGGACCACCGCTCAGGGCCACAGCACTGGTCTCTGAGGCCTACAGAATAAGTTCCCACTACCTGAGGTTGAGGTAGGTGAGGGCTGTGAGATTCCCCAAGGCTGGGTTCAGGCATCTCAGGCAATTGTGGTAGAGGCTCAGGCCTTCCAGGGACACCAGCTGGCACGCTGCCTCGGGCACCTCGGGAAACCGGTTCCGAGACAAGTCTAAGGAAAGTAAGGGTCAGGAAAGAGCTAAGGAAAGAGTCAGCCTTGCACAAGGAGACTGAGTGTCCCCTGAACCAGCTCCCCAGCTCCCTATCCTCTGCTGACTGAAAGAATCAAGCCCACAGGACTGAGGAGACAGCTAAGTGGATAAAGTGCCCGCAGCACATGAGTGAGGACCTACCCCAGAACCCATAGCTAAAAAGCTGAGTGTGGTAGTGTTCACTTGCAATCCCACCACCGGAGAGTCGCGGCTCAGTGGCTTCCTGGTGCTCACTGGCCAGCTGACCAGAAAGCCTAGCTGATTCAAGTGACCAGATCAATGAACAGGCTCTGCCTCAAACAAGCAGTGGGTGACACCAGAACAGCTGAGACTGAACCCTAGCCTCCACAGGTGTGTGCACACATAGACATACGATCATAAACGTGGGCTCCCTGGGGAGACAGGCCTTCTACACACTGAAGCACATACAAGCATTACCAGAAAGACAAAGAGAAGGCCAGACTTGGGAAGCTACTGACAGACCATAAACACCACCTTTAAATTTACAAACGAAGCTCCACGTGGCAGCTCAGGCCTGTAACTTCAGCAATCAGAGTGCTGAGAGAAGAGAATCCAGAGTTCAGGACTAGACAGTTAGACTTGACCCTGTCCCACCCCACACTCCAAAACTAAGACAAATGCAGAGCTCTCCCAGCAGTGTGGCAGCGATGTTCCGAGATGTCAGGAGAGGTGAAAGGTCACAGGAGGGGGTTATGCTCGTGAGAAAATAGTCTGAGGGGTGAAGAGAAGGCTCCATGAGGGAACACGCTCACTACACAAGCATGAGGACCTGAGTTCAGATCCCAGCACGCGTGTAAAGAGCTGGGCACGGGTATGTACTGTGACCTCAGTGCTGAGGATAGGGTGGGGTCAGAAGAAATGAAATGGGTTTGTGGGCTGCCAGCCTAGCTCCAGGTTCAGTGAGAGATGCTGTCTCAAGACAATCAGGCAGAGAGTGAGGGTACAGCACACCCGACATCCTCTGCAGGCCTTCACATACACGTATGAACTTACTCTCCCTCTCTCCACCAAAAAAAGAGCCTGGTCAGGGCTGGCTGTGACTCGATGGGTCAAGCACACAGAAGGCTCTGGATGTGATCCCAGCACAAGAAAGAGAAGTTGAAAACAACAGTAAGATGATAGTCAGGAAAGGTCAAGGGGATAATACAGAAACCTCTGGGGAAACCATAGGGAAAGTCCTTCCTCTCAGCTTCAACCTGTTTTCCACACAGGGACGAAATCAAGGACAAGATATATCCTGGCTCTAGGGATTAAGTAAGGTCCTAACACTTGGCCAGTTTTCCATCAGCCTCCAACCCCAAAGGACTATGAACGTCTAAGTTCAGGAAGTCTAGGAGGGAAAGGAAGTAGGCTACGCTGGGCTGGGAACCAGGTTCTCAGAATCCTTGAGGTTCCTCCCATTTGGGGTTTCTTTGCCCCCAGGCTGGCTGTCCTATTTCCAACCCCAGCAGTCTTCCTCTGTTTCCTCTCTGACCTAGGCCTCAGGTTCAGCATTTTTGCATTTACTTTGAGCAGAGCAAAGAGTGGAGGTAAGGACGGAGGAGGGGCCCCCTTCTCTCAGACAGTGGCTCATGGCAATGCCATAGGCACTGTGGTTCCTTCCAGTGTAGAGATGCAGACCAGGCCCCTAGAAGCCTGTGTTTCTATTTGTTCTGTTCAGCACGCCTTGGGAGGTGTCTGGGCCTTTTAAGGGAAATCCCAGGCAAGAGATGTTGTGAGCTTCTTTAAAGGTCCTCCTTCAGAAGGGGGCAAAAGCTAAGAGGAGGGGAAGCTGGGGAATATTCCCCAAGGAAACGCATCTTGTGACAGGAAATGGAGCAGAAACAATCCATTGGGTTGTGGCTTGCAGGCTCTGTTTCCCAGGGGATATTAGCCTGATGCTCTACAAACTGTTCTCTTCCTCGTCCCAGCCCTAGTGAACACAGACAGAGCTAGTGTGGGAAAAATGGTTCCAGAGAGGGTAGAAGGCCTGCGTCAGGTCCTCCACTCATGCCTGACACCTGCTTGTTTCCTTTGTGCCCACAAATGTATAAGTGAGGGAGGGCAAGGGGTGTGCCTGTATTCATGGGAGTGGAGGCCACACTGAGATGGGGTAAGGGCCTGTAGAGGGGCAGAAGTCAAGGGCGGAAGGAGCCCAGGCTGGAGGAGGCAGGGCTCAGGGGCACAGGATGTGGTCTGTGGGAGAATGATCTACACTTCTCCTTTGCTAGAAGTTGCCCTCCCCCAACCCAACCCAGCTCTCTACTAGTAGACCAAGGGAACACTGCCCTTGGGTGTTAGGGGTGTCCACAGAGGGAACACACAGGGGCACAACAAGCAGGAGAGAGTCCAGAATAACCCAGCAGCACAATGCTACAGGGCACCAAGCAACTCTGGGCTTCTCTCTCTCTCTCTCTCTCTCTCTCTCTCTCTCTCTCTCTCTCTCTCTC